ATGTTTTTTACACATTTTCTGGACTTGAAACTTCCAGGAAAAATTTTAACACTCTACTTATAAAAATATTTCTATCAATAACCAACCTGTCTTCAAAATTTAAATTTCTAATCACAACACACATGGTCCCAGTTTTAACTTCAATTTCATGATCAGAAGGGCCAGGTTCCAGACAGGGACTGGTAGCGGCTACCTGGCCGCAAGCATCCAGCCCGGATACGGGATTCCGGCTACTAAGCTATGCTCAAGGCTCCTGGATCTCGGGGCATGCGCATAGTATGCTATGCTGGTAGGTCGAAGACTTCGATCCTCAGTTTACAGATCCCGAGATACTTAGGTAGCCGGCTAGACGGTGACCCGACGGATCTCGGCATCCGCATAGTAGCTGGATCCTGTGGCAGCCCTCGAGAGTAGGATACGTCGAAATTCGGTCCGACGATCACCCTGGAAATCTCCGGCGACGGACAATGGAGACAATGCCCTCAATGCGAGCGCTTCAGTGGAAGTTCTGCGAACTGTGGCGGCCAATCTCGGTGCACTCAGTAGCCGTCTAGTAGCATATACATGGTGGATATTAGTATCTTAGCGTATCAATGTAGCTGTCCACCCTAGTATGCTGGGATCCTTTGCAGCGAGGGATGCTAGCATACCTGGAGATCCGGCTACCAACGTATACTGGCATATGCGGCTACTTGGGCATCCGGCATGCCGCATATGTAGGGATGCCGCGGCATCCCTACATATGCGGCATCTCGACGTATGCCGGCAGTCAACCTCCGCTATCAGTCCCTGGTTCCAGAGAGTGCTTGAGAACTCGAGAACGCTATTCAAGCGAGCGAGCAAGCGAAGCGTCTGACAGGATGTACAAAGGATGTCTAGGAGATGACTCTCTGACTTGGTCTGCTCTCGATCACCTGGGCAAATTTTGTTCCTCTGTGGACTGCACGAGTGTAAGTCTGCAAAGTGAGCTCCGTAGCTCTGCCCAGTCATCATAGATACCGACTGGAGGGGCCGCGCGGCCGCACGCTCGCTCGAATAATATTGCCCCTCTCACAGTCAAATATTTTCAGAGAGTCTTCGAGGTTTTTTAGTAGATATACAAAAGAGAGAAGTTATGGTGGCCCGAAATTCGGTAACATGAAACACAATAAAACAGTGGGAAACAAGGCTAAAATTACAAAAATAACTGCGGGGCGTTTGCAACCCAAGCCATTATCAATTGTTAAAACAAACAGAACATTGAAAACAATGCTAAAAAACCCACTACATTTAAAAACCCGTGAGATCAGCCGCGACGAAATTTAGGACTGATAAGATGTAAACAACCTCAAGAAGCAACTTTGACCAGGACCAGTCAAGTCTTCATTGTTTCTTGGTGAGGGTTGACTGTTCTTGGTCAACATTGCTTCTTGAGGTTGTTTATGTATTATCAGTCCTAATTATGGTCGGGGCTGATCACACGGCTTTTTAAATGTAATGGTTTCTGAAGCCTTGTTTTGAATTTTGTATTTGTTTTAGCAGTTGATAATGGCTTGGGTCGCACAGTGGGAAAACAATCAATCTAGCGCCAAAAAAGTCTTGAAGCTCGGGGCGTTCACTTTCCCATTCGTTTTTCACTAAGTCGGTCTTATACATCTACCTAAACACAACAGACAGCATAATGCGCCGATTTTTTGTAAATTTAAGAGGTATTGAGCTAAATTTAGTAGACAAATCAGCTGTAATTCACATTCCTTGAGACTGTGTTTCCGTTTGTGTGCCCAAGTGCAAGTATTTCAGGTGGAAGTTCTGAGAGAGAATGAATGTAATATGCAACTTATTTTTAAACATTGAATGGATGCAAATTTCATATTAATTAGCATATCTAATTACTTAAAAGGTGAAGAAAAATTGCTTGAAATTTTAAATTTCCAAAGAAATGACAGTCATACAGTGGAACAGTTATACCTAATCCATGGATAAGGACAAGGAATGAATGTCGGTAATCCACAGCTCATTACTATCGATGTTGATGGATAAGAAGGTTATATCAGTCGGCAAGCATTTAATAATAAGAGCCAACGAGGAGGAGAAAAATACTTGAAATTTTAAATTTCAAAATTAACCGTCGAACAATGGAATAGCTTTAACTAATCCATGGATATTTACACGTTCTGATTTTTCTCTATTTCTTGTTAATTTAACAATTAAATTGTGAACATTTATTTTATCATAAAATCAACTTGGAAATTTGATCGTTTAAATCCATGTCATCATTTTATTGACACACTTAATTTTCATGAAAGGAAAGTAAAGTATTTCCATTACTCGAAAATTTTGGCAATTCCTTTCGCTCAATGCTTCTGATGTTTCTTCTCTGAAAACTTAATGTGAAGTGAGACCATTTTTGAAGAGCTGCAATGAGAATTTACATTCTTGCAACTATTAGGTAATTTAGATAATATCATAGCAATCAGTAGATAGGAAAATAATAGGACCTACTATTCAAGAAATTAAAATCAGTCTTTAATAATAAATTCACACCAGGAGCATTTGAGGACTTATATGTAACAACAACGGTCGCTGACATCCGCCATTTTTAGGGCAAACGCTTTTTTCAAATTCTGGAACCCTCAAGAATGCCTGTGCAAAGCTTCAGACTTCCAGGATAATTTTTCAGCGAGATATGAACTGAAAACCATGTTAATTCTAAAATCAGTGGATGTGAGAATCCACTGTTCTCCCCCGCCGCCGCGGCAGGACACGGTAGAGATTCGAATCCACTTGCGATAACTGCCCGTGCACCGACATACGTATCGGGACCGTTTCGCCAGAATTGTTGATTTTTTAACTGATTTTATAATTTGTTCCTTATTTTTGTTCTAGAAGTTACAAACGGTCTAGTTTTTTGTTCAAATGTATTAAATGACTCAGCATTGACTTACTTTTGGTTCATTTCAATCATTTCACCAACCTTAACCCTCCTGAGAACTTTGTTTCATGCATAAAAAACGTTTTTAGTAAAAACAGCAGATGTCACATTTTTTTCAAATCGCTGTTACTCCTGCAATTTTTCACTTACATAGATCGCAAAACGTGTATATTTTACAGGAAGGGTTGCTCTTTATGATAATCTTTATAAGAATCCTCTCGGTTCTACGGGCAGCTAAGTGTAAGGCTTCGAAAACTTCAAATGCGATTTTCTCACAATGTGAAAACTCGACATCCACTATTGTTACAGATAAGTCCTCATTTGGAAACACAAAAAAAAAAAAAACAAAGCACACAGATTTTTACGTACAAAAGATCAATACTTCCCAATGTATGCTTTGAATGAACATTTTTTTAACTAAGTCAGTTCAGTCAATCTATACCAAAAACAAGAAACCTTGCAAAATTCTAAGAAAATGTTTTTGTCATATGTTTCCTTCTAGTTTTTTTGTGCTGAATCCGTAACACTGAACTTTGCTGCCTTCAATTTTTTTTGAAAGCCACTATTTTGAAAATACATCGCCAAATCTCAATTTTTGTCTAAACGTCATTTAGGACTCATTCCCTGAGCGTCGAACAACAAAGATGCAAATAGCGGAAACACTCCTATAATGAAGAAAACATTTCCAAAATCGGTTGGCCTAAGCATACTCTTTGATAAGCTCAAATGATGGTGCAGGTGCTTTTCAACTCTTTTTCTCTCCCAAGTTTGAAAACATTTAGCCCATGAAAAGTGCCCCATTATTAAAAGGTAAGGTCACTAGGTGATGAGGAAAGAGGATCAAGGACATATGGTTATATTTTTATATTTTGAAACCAAGCATACTGTAAGATAGCATTTTGTTGGCTAAAAATGCAATAAACATTATTTTGTGCACTCTCAAAATTGGTGAAAGGGGAGGCTAGGTGTCGGAGAAGGGATGCCAAAACGTGTGAAATCTCTAATTATTGTATTTCTCAGCAAGATTCAATGCCTAGCAGCAAAATTATTCTTTAAGAACCCAAATTACAGCCCTTGTAAGTAGGCAGTTCTGTAATCTAGTGTGACCGCCGATTCCGGTCGGTAAGAGTCTCCGACTTCAAGTGTTGCTAACTTCTGTACAATCACTTGCCAAAAAACCAAGAGACTCACTAGTTGCATTTTTGTCTTCTTATATTGGACTACATTTTACGTTTTGGAACTACAATTTCTAGCTCAGTTTAGAGACAATGTACCATTGGTATTCCTATGCACATGAGTGTTTTTACGGGTGAGGCAGAAATTTTAGGTCCAAATTGCAAAGTATCCAATTTCTGCTTTCATAAGGGACACCCTACTAAACATAGGCTTTGTTATGTTCACATAGAGACATCAGTAAAATAAAACTTCTTACTCTTTTTTTCTCCGCGTTCTTGAGTTAAAGTAAATGAGAAACCACTTGGGTATTTTGGCTTGGACACACTATCAATTAGAATGTAACCAGCCTTCATTACTGTCTGCAATTTTTAATGCAATTCAGACGCATGCAACTTTGATGAGTTTATAGTTTGAAAAGAAAATAACAATTGACTCAACTGATGTGTTGTATTTTGGACCGCGTTGACAGACCACACATGTATAACCCTGAGTTTGATGTACTTGGTTACATTTGGATATCATCACTAGAATGCAAGGTTGCTGGAATAGTTGAAAGAGTTCCAACTGCGAGCAGCCAAAATGTAGACTTAACACTTTACGCCCGACCGCCACATTTGATTTCAGATAGCCATTGGTTGCCATCACACGATATCAATTGTTGGCAGAACACAAACGAAGCCTGGAATATGATCCGAGCTTCTTTCGAAATTATGAGGCATGGACGAACTTTTTTGAGGCCAACAATACTCTAATCCCAAAAATTTAACACTTTGGTAGTCCCTGCTACATGCAAATTCTCTCGTACAGAAGAAAGTTAAAACTTCTTTTTTCTTCATCTATACTTGTAAGATTTCAAGATAGTCTTAAGACTTAATATGATCTATGGGCTTATTTTTGAATATTGTTTACTCACTTCTATGTAGGCTCGAGCAGCTGCTTGAAGACTTGCACAACCTTGATTATCAGCAAACACGCAAATTCCAATACAATTGGAAGGATGCAATTGTTTCGTTAGAAAACGACAGCAGGTTTCAACCACACTATTCAATTGTAAGAGGCTCGCTGTGCTCAGAAGGGTTTCAACACTTTCCTCTTGTAATTCAATGTGTCCTAGAGTTGAATAATTTGTTCAAGAACTTATTAGTCTGGGTGCAAATGTGAACGTAGTTTACTAATTACCTACCAATGATCACCTCTGCGTTTTGGACCACTTCCTACCGATTAGCTACATGTTCACAGAAGACCTACATGCCAGGCATAGCCCCGAACTAGTTGGACAACACGAGGTATGGTCAAAAAGTTCCCGGACTGGTGTAGCCCTGGGCTGAAAAATAATCCAAACGAGCTCAACTTAGGCTCGTATGAAAGCTTATACTCTCATATAAACAATCCTTTTTATTTTTGAAAAAATATCAATTGCTTTTCGCACAGCGTCAATTTTACGGAGACGTGTTTGCGTCGCGTGGCGATTTCCACAACTTAGAACGTTTTCGGCGGACTTTCTCGCGGAACCGACTAGGCACATCGCAATAAAAATCAGCATCAACTCGTATACCAGGAGGGACAAATTCATGGTGCAGAATCCCATTCACATCAAAAAACACGATGACCATGCTTTTGACTTTGGACTTTTTTTTTTCTTCTTTTTTTCTTTTTTTTCCCCTTTATTAAGTAATGATACATAATAGTAACAAGTTTAATATGGACTAATAAACATTAACTTTAAAATTATATTGATTTACTTAACAAAGACCCCGGAACCGCCTGGTGGCATTACATCGGGGGGGTTTTTGGCTGTTAAAGGGGTAGAATTATTAATCTTATTGCTAGAAGTCTTAAAAAATTATATCTTATCTTCTACTGTTTCTTTTATGTATCTATAGCCTAAGTTCCATTTTTCCCTACTCTCTAACATTAACTTTAATAAATTATGTGCATTAATATTTTGTTTCATTTCTAATTCTAACTTACCCCGATCAAAATTAAGATTACATAAAAAGAAAGCATGGTTTGGAGTGTCTATTTCGCCGCATACACAATTGGGAGAATCGATTAAATGTCTTTTATTTAAGTAACTGCCGAACGCACCATGTCCTGAAAGATACCGGGTCACATAAAAATCTGGTTGACCATGTTCACGATCCAGCCATTCGTCTAGATCATGTATAGTGGTTTTTATCCATTTATTGCCTTCCTCATTTAACCAAATCTCTCTCCATTTATCTCTAATTTCTTTTTCGACATTTAATTTATTTTCACCTCTGACGACTCTAAGTTTCAATTCAATTAACAATTTAGCTGGGGGAACTCCGGAAATAATGTCTTGGGCAAAGTTAGATACAGATTTGTATCCTGATATCAAAGTTCTCTTCAATGGACGGATAGTTGATTCAATCAAGTTCAATGTTTTCTTCCAACAAGTAGCCGTGATCCATAAGGTTACACCATAAAAAAGAATTGATAACAGGGAATGAAAAATGATCTTACGTCTAAAGAATGTTGGGCCAAAATTATTAGGTAGTATTTGATTACAGTGATTGGCTGTTTTTTTAAGTTTATCACAGGTTAATTCTAAATGTTTACTGAAGTTTAAGTTTTTAGTCAGAAAGAAGCCGAGATATTTCATGATATTTTTTGTTTCAACTAATGTGTTGTCTATTTTTATTTTTACATTTATGTCTTTTGTGCTGTTAGATAAAATTAGGGCTTCAGTCTTAGTATCTTCTATAAATAATTTTTTCTTCTTTAGTTTTTTCTTCAGCTTTTTTGAAGTATTTTCTGATTCTATAAGTAAAGTTTCCTGGTTTTCGGTCTCAAAAGTTAATAATGTGTCGTCGGCATAAACATTCTTTTCGACGCCCGAACCAAGTCTCATCCTTACAATTTCATCAAAGATTATCAGAAATATTAGGGGCCCCAGTATACTGCCTTGAGCGCCACCAGAATTGATCTTAATTTTAAATTCAGGAAAGACTAGGAATCTATTTGACAGATTTCATAATTCTAATTAGGTATGGAGGGACGTTTCTTTTATAAAGTGTACTTATAAAGTCTAACCAACTAATACTATTAAATACGTTTTTGATATCAAGTGAGACTAAACATAAAAGACCTCTTCTGCCAATCGGCTTCCTCATGTGATATTCTAGTACTCTTTTCACTGATTCCATAGCTGTGATAGTAGACCTGCCCTTGCGGAATCCGTGCTGTCTGGTATCAAAGGTGAAAGAATTGGAAAGTCTGGCCGCTATAATGTGTTCGAAGATCTTCGAAAGGGTGTTAATTAGGCAAATAGGTCTATATTTTTTTTGAGGATCACCGGGTTTTAGTTTAGGAAAGAGTATGAGTTTGGCCTCTCTCCAGTTATCGGGAAAGGACCCTGCTCTAAGTAAATTGTTACACATTTCAGTGAAAAGTTTTCACCCGCCGTCTCTCTCCAGATCACGTCTCCGTGGTCGGGAAAGAGTTTTTTAATTTGATCAAATAGTTCTTCTTTGGATAAAATAGAGTTGTCATATGAACGCGGATTTTTAAGGCGACGTCTAAAAATTTTATACCCTTTTCCCAAAATATCGGTGTCTAACTCATCTATAAGTTCTTTATGTTTTTTCTTTTTTGAATCAATTATTTTAGTACTAAGTTCTTTTTTGAGATTTTCCAATTCACTAAATTTGTCCAGGAGAGGAAGATTTTTTCTTTTCAATTCCATTATTTTTCGTCTTAATTTTTGACAGTTTTTCCTAATATTCCCTATTTCTTTTTTCCACCAATAGAGAGGGGTGCGTGGAGAGACTGTTGATTTTTTTATGAAATGGGCATCGGACGCTTCAGAAATAATTTTTTCACAGATTAAAGGGGTGAGTTTGGATTCAGCTGTGTAGATAGAGGTTACATTTTTTACTGTTTTTACAAAATCAGAAAGTTTGTCTTTATTAATGTACCAGCCATAATTATTTATGGGTAACTTGGTTTGTTTTTCAATATTAGTATCATTAAGTATGTTCACTAAGACGCATCTATGATCTGAGAGGGTGTAAGAGTCGAGAATTTCTATTTTAATTTTGTCACTTAGATCACCACTGGATAATACTAGGTCGGGGATCGATTGAAAACCTCTAGAATTTATAAATGTAGGCGTGAATCTTTCGTGATTATTGTGAATAGTTAGCTCATTTTCGAATATCCAGTCCTCAATAATATGACCTCTTGGATTGTATTTAATGCCCCCAGGCTGGTGATCTCCCGTTAAAGTCACCTAGGATTAGAAAAGGTCCATTAATTCTTTTTATCCGTGTTTCTAGAATGAACAGGGCTTTTTTCAATTCAATATTATTATCATTGGGAGAGAGATAAACTCCGACAATTGTTATTTTAGACCAGGTGAATAACACGTAAAAAGGACCAGCCTCCCAATTGAGGGTGGAGCCGGTGAGAAAACGGGTAGAGCAGGCGGACACCCACAGATCAAGGCTAGAGTAGAGATTATCCCAGTTTGCTTTTGTAACATTTGGTTCAGTGAGGAAATAGCATCCGATTTTGCGATTTTCAACAATTTCTTTAAGCAAATCATGTGAGTGGGGTTTAGTATTGACGTTACCTAACAATATAGACATACCAATTCTCTCTTGACTTATATCAATATCGGAGTTCATGGAGTTATCAGATCCATTTTTATCCTTATTTTTACGAATTATATTTAAATTTTTGCTGGGCGGGTTTCTACTAACTATCACGTCGTTTTCTTCTACCTTTTTGAGGATAATCTTATCCTTATTTGTGATAAATACATCATTATCATCGCTATTGTTTTGACAGGACAAATCATTTTCGTTCTGCATATGCGCCGGTAATGGGGAATTATCATCTACATCAGAATTATCAGAATTATAAGCAACAGACCATAATTGAGGAAGCGCGATGGGTCTAATGATTCTTCCGCAAGGCAATTTAAGAGGGGGTAATAACATGTCTTTACATTTTTTGCAATTTTTTGCTTTGACATAGTGTCTACACCAGATACAGTTTAGATCCGCATAATATCTGGGATCAAAACAAATAATACATTTAGAGATAGGGCGGGTGTGTTGACATATAAGTTCAGTGTCACTTGTGACATTATGAGGGTCAATCTGATTAGATTCTATATCAAGATCGAGCATCTCAAATCGATTATTGGAGCAAGAATTCATACTTGATTTTGTTGAGAAAGGTCAGGATTGTTTACATAGCTAACTACCTGTGTACCATTACCGTGTGGAGATGCTAAGGTGTGTCTTAACTGTTCAAAGAATATACTCTAATGATCTTCATAACGTCTACACTTCTGTTCTAGGGCTTTGAGATAAATAGGGCATTTAGGACTGGTGGGGAGGTGTTCTAGATTTTCTTTAATTTTGTGTCTGACACAGTTGATACATTTTGCATGTTCTTCCTTACATTCGGCTATTTTGTGATTGTTTTTCCCACATTTGAGGCACAACACTTCATTGACACATATTTTTGTTCCGTGGTAGAATTTTAGGTTCAGCTTTAGCAAAACCAAAGGTGCTTAAGTAAAAGTTTCTTTGAATTAGGACATCTTCAAGCAAGGGTGATTCGAATCTCATGTAGACTATATTTTTGGGGGTACTGAAATTATTCCTTAAATTGATGGTTCTGAAAATATGAGTTTTCTTTTGAATATTTTTGAGAGTATACTTATTATTGAGTTCGGTATAAATTTCCTTGAGGATTTGAGATTCGGACATATTGGCTGGGATAGGACCGAAACTTACAACTTCTGATGGATATGTGGCTTTGACATTAACTGATTTGGATTTAAGACAATTTTTCAGTGCGCTTTCTAATTTTCCTCTATCATCTGTTATAGCTCTGATTACATAGCCCTTATCCTTATTTAATTTTACCGAAAAAACTTTCCCTAAGTTAGGTGGAATTTCTTTGTGAATCATATCAAATAGTTGTTGTTCGTCTACAGTTTTTCCGGTAACAGTAGATTCTAAAAGTGTGGTGACTTCTTTAGAGACTCTATTGACAACTCCACAAGTGAGATTTTGCTTGTTTTTCTTGAGCTGTTCGCTATAACTTAGTTTTTCATTTAGTGCAGGGAA